AGCCACAACACGGCAGGCAGTCGACAATATCAACAGTGTGTTCCCTACCTAAGTCGCTACGAACGCGACAGTAGCTCGTTGGTTCAAAAGATTTCGTTCTGGAAATTTTGACCTGTCCAATGAACCGCGTGGTCGACCTGAAACTCAGGTGGATAATGATGTCCTGAAAGCCACCGTGGAAGCTGATTCCAGCCAAAGTGCACGTGAATTAGCACTGACTTTCGGTGTATCGAAGAAAATAATCCTGACTCACTTGGCGCAAATCGGCAAGGTGAAAAAGCTGGACAAGTGGGTGCCGCACGAATTGAACGATACACAAAAGCAATGGCGACTTGAAGCATGCCTTTCTCTTTTGTCTCGCAACAAAACCGAACCATTTCTCCATCGAATTGTTACCTGCCATGAAAAATGGATCATGTACGACAATCGCAAGCTGCTCCAAACGAAGCATCCATCAGAAGAAGCTGATAGTGACTGTTTGATGGTCTGGCTCAGGTGTCATCCACCATAGCTTCATGGAACCTGACAGATCGATCGTGGCGGATGTCTACTGCAACCAACTAGACGATATGATGCAAAATCTTGCGATTAAACAGCCGAGATTGGTCAATCGATCAACTCCCATCCTCTTGCACGACAACGCTCAACCTCACACCGCACGAACAACCGTGGCAAAGCTACAACACTTGGAGTTAGAGACTCTCCGTCACCCACCATATTCGCCAGACCTTGCACCCACTGACTACCATTTCTTTCGAAATTTGGACAACTTCTTGTCGGGAAAAAAATTCAATTCCGCAGAGGCTGTGAAAACGGCCTTCCAACAGTTCATCGACTCCCGTGAGCCAGGCTTCTACAGCAAAGGGATAAATGAGCTACCGTTGAAATGGCAAAAGTGTGTCGATAACCTGGGTGCATACTTTGATTAAAAATACAAAGTTTTTATTTGAAAAGAATCGAGTTTTATTTATCAAAATTTTGCTCCATTTCATACTTCACGACCCAATATGTATCCCCTACTATTATTACTCTGCCGCTCGTTATGTAATGTTGAAGCAAATACATAATTTAAAAATAAATACATAATTTTATATATATATATATATATATATATTGTATATATATATATATATATATATATATTATAATTGTGAAATAATTATTACAATTATTTTAATTGCGAAGAAAAAAACAAATGACAATGTATTGTTACGTCCAGAGGAGCTCACGATTCTTTTCTTTTCCTTATCTGGTACACATGTGCACGACTTCCGAAAATCGTTAATGATAGTTAAATAGGATTCTCAGTAAATACTCCAGAATAACAATCAGATATTTACGGACTGATAAAAGTAGCATTTGGCTAAATGAGGCGGCAATCAGTTAGACGAATTTGATATTTTCTGATCCACTTCACTAAAAAACTCACAAAATTAAACAAGCTACAGAAAATAAAGAAAACTATTTACAAAACGCGAGTGAGCGGATGTCGCGACAAGCACTCGTTTTATCTCAATGGGGTAGTAAAAGTCATCCCCTTATCTCCAACAGATGCATCTTACAAAGCATAAATTATCACCACTTCCGATACTGAGAATCCTAAGTCCCCCGTTTCGGAAGATGCTCTCCTATTCGCGGACAAATGTAATTAAATTCTGATTTGTTGCATTTGTTTTAAAATGTTCATAAGTAGGGACAGGAAGGAGACCACGGAAATCTAACGAGGGTTTCTATTCGTCAACTTCCCTTATTCCTCACGCTGGGAGAGGGTAATCCAAAACGATATATAAGCGCGAACTTTGGACAAATCGACGCTCGACGCTCAAAAAAAACACACTCAGTCAGACATACATTCATTCTTTCTTCGCTTGCTAGTTCACCTATTTACTCAGTTACATACTTACGTAGTTGCTCGGTTGTATACTTGCTTATCGAGTCAGTGCAAAAATCTTAACCAAGGAGGCCCAGCAGCAACCACCCTCTTCAACAAATATATCCAGAACCAATTCAGCGCTAATATCTCGCCATCTTCAACGCCAAGGGGGCCCAGCAATAATTTGTATCGATTTGTCCACGCTTTTCAAATAGTAAGTCTTATCTTTTATTTATTAAGTTCCTCTTCCCCCATCTTCCTTTATTGATAATAATTCGCTTCCCTAGTGGAACCCTCCGTCTCGCACAATCACGCTTAATACACACACACATACACACACAATCACGCTTAATGCATCTACATACATAGAACAATCACACTTAATATTATACTAGAGCCGTCACTAAAATGTTTATGTAAGTTTTATCTCCTTTATAATGTACAATAAATTTAATTAATTTTATTTCTTACAAATCCAACTTAATCAATTCCCCCCTCATCACTCACGCTCCTGAATCGCACTTGGTCCCCTCCCGGGTAAAAAGGATTAAGTTCCTTTACCAAAAAGGGGACCGACGAGCGGGCATTTGGACCAGAAATAGCGTAAAATCGACCCCTGGTGGTCGTTGACCTATCTTTGGCTCACCCGCAGGCTCGCTCGACCCGAGACTCTTGCTCTTAAGGCACCTATTTTCGGGATACAAGTGTTACGCCCTTCCTTCGGCCCATCCTTCCTCGGGCCTGGACGTAACATACGTAAATTTTGGGGGCTTGTCCGGGATTGATATGTGCGATTCAAGGAAACGGGGATGAGTGACGGGACTCGAGGTAAAGCCGATAAAAAGGAAGTAGAAAAATTTTATAAACTCGCTTTAGAAGAGAAAAAATCTAAACCTAAAATTGAAATTACATCATCTACTCCTGGTTTACCTCATACATCTACTCCAAAAAGAACTGTAGGGTCTATACCAAGACATTTTGATCTTTCTTTAGAGAACACAGACACAAGCATAAACAATACTATTCTAATAGCCAACACGCCCGAGCCAAACTCTGACAATTCTAGTGATATAACTTGCCAAGAATATTGTACACTTACTAATACTCTTATTTATAAAGCAGAAAAAGATTTTGATAGATCCGAAACCATGACTCACCAAAACCCATTTGCTACCTTAAAATACGCGGTTGAAGCCGTTCCTTTTTTCGATGGTAAAAACATTCCGCTCAGTTATTTTATTGAAGAATGTGAAGAAGCTAAATCCATGTTATCTAAAGAAGCTGAAGCACAATTTACTAAAGTTATAAGAACCCGAATAGTCGGCGAAGCCCGACGAACCATCCAAGATCAAGATTTTGACACAGTATCTAATTTAACTTCATATCTAAAACAAATTTACGGACCTTCCAAAAATGTATATAAATTACAAGGAGAATTAGGACGCATTTACCAAAAAAATGAAGAAGATGTAGTCACGTATGCAAATCGAGTAAAATTATTAGGAAAACAGATTTTAGAAGCATACCGCAGTACTAGTCGTTCTTTACCTGACCAAAATATGAAAGCATCATTAGAAGGAGACATGTGCAAATGTTTTATACGAGGACTCAAACCCGAAATAGAACAGAGAATCGCGCGAGACTTAAATGTGCATGGAACCGTCGCTGACGCCTTAAGGATAGAAAGAGAGCTTCAAGCAATAACAGATTTACGACAGGGACAAGACACTAACTCAGGTCAAAACAAACCGCGAATACGAGAAACTTGTCAGATCTGTTATAAGGAGGGACACGTGGCTAGCAACTGTAGGAAGCTCACACAATCATCCTCTTTAGGTCAAATTCCAGGAGCTTTAGGAACCGAAATTCTGATTTGCCAAATTTGTAAAAAACGCGGACACAGTGCAGATAAATGTCACTTGCGCGATCCTCAATATCGCCAGTAAATGTAATCCAGCAGCGAATTATAATTTGTCAAATATGTTCTAAAAATGGACACGACGCGAAACTATGTCGTCAAAACAACAACAATAATCAAGCCAACAAAACCTCTGTAATTTGTCAATGATGCGATAAACCTGGTCATTCCGCTAATAATTGTTGGAAGAAACAAAATGAACAATGCAATTCTACAAATAAAACAACCGTTACTTGTCAAATTTGCAACAAAATCGGACACGTCGCTAAGGACCAACTCTTTTTGTCGATACTGTAAGGAACAAGGGCATTCTTGAAAACTGTCAATTACGGATCGCGAGTAATAATCGTCGAAAAGAAAAAGACCAAGGAAACTATATGAGCAGAATGGACTACAATGGGCCCTCGACGTCGGGTGTGCGACAAGAGTCCGAGCGAGCTTCACACCCGTCCACTCAGCAGGATGCCAAATAAATCAACGAAACCCAGATGTACGACCTGTGACAGTGACCCTCGCTAAAGACAGTCGCCTACTGTTCAGGTCCAGCTCACCAAAACATCCGCTCATATAACTCTCATGCTAGATACAGGATCCGGACCGAATATAATTAAAGAAAAATTCACACCTAAAAATATTCAAATAAATTTTGATAATATTTTGAAATTAAATGGTATAAATAACTGTAGGGACAATTGTCTCCTACTCCGCCCGCGTTATACACACACGCACACATGTTCAGAAATCCTACCAGCTTTCTAATTCCCGCATGCATGCATCCGCTTCCACCTCTACAGATTTACAACCCTTGCATGTTCCGCAGCCGTATAGATTGCCATGTAACATTTGGCAAACACACGGCTTTTCCTTACGCAATCCGTCCCTTGTAAAATTTCTCCTTCCATAAGTAAAAAACTCCTCTCGGTTCATGCATGCCGAACCCGGATTTTTCTAGAGACCAATAACATTTCCGCCTCGAGACACATCGCGGACAGTACGCTCGCATACAGTACACATCCACACCTACGCATAGTATACAGGCCTTCGTAATTGTAATTAGAAGAAAATACAGAATTATTGTTTAACATAACGTTCGGTCTTAATTGTGTCTTACCCACAAATTGGTGACCCCGACGTGATTCTTTTCTTTTTCGCGAACCGCGAGTGATCTGCACAGTGCATCGTAGTGCTTGTCGCTTTGAGATTTTCAATATGGCTCACAACAACGGTAGTGGTGTCATGGACCGTGAAACGGCGAACCCGTCGCGTGCATCATCGATCGATCGAGTGTCAGTTAAAGTGCCACCGTTCATACCCACGGATCCGGAGTTGTGGTTCAGGATGCTGGAGGGCGGTTTCGTAGCTGCCGGAATAACCCAGGACAGTACCAAATATGGCCACGTTATCACAGCCCTCGACCAAAGGTATGCTCTGGAGGTCCGTGATATACTTATGAGAGAGGAACAATCATACGAGCTTTTGAAAACCGAATTGATCAAGCGCCTTGGCTCTTCGCGTGAGCAGAACACGCGCCGACTATTAGAAAACGAGCCTCTCGGAGATCGCAAGCCGTCGCAGTTTCTCCGACATCTTCGCGGCCTCGCCGGTACGGAGTTTCCGGAGGACATCTTGCAGACACTCTGGCTGGGCCGTCTGCCTAGACATGTCCAAGCACTCCTTGCGGCTCATCGGAATCTCACGCTCGATAAGCGAGCCGATATCGCGGATTCGATCGCGGACTTGTACGGCCCGGTAGGGCTCATCGCCGAGACGACAGCCACCGCACCTCAGCCTGCCCGAGCTCATGGTGATGATGTAACGCGCGTGATGACGGAGGTGGTACAGAGACTCGCAGCCATCGAAGTCAACTTCCAAGGAGCGCGTCATCTACTAGCGGAACCTGCGAAGCCTGCGGAAGGTCGCGCTCGCGCTCTCCGTCGCGCTTGCGCTCCCGATCGCGTACGCGGTCACGGAGCCGACGTCCTGGTGCAGCTAGCGACATATGCTGTATCACTGGTAATACGGCGATCAGGCAAGAAATTGCGAAAAGCCGTGCAAATACGACGACAAATCTTCGGGAAACGAACAGGGCAGTCGCTAATGGCGGCCGACGACATCAGCCCCGCGATATCGCGCCGCTTCTTTGTCAGCGACCGATCCACAAAGCTGCAATTCTTAATTGATACAGGAGCCGACGTGTGTATGTTTCCACGCTCGCACCTGCCGGGACCCCGTACAAAATCAAGCTATGAGCTCTCCGCGGCGAACGATACAACTATTGCTACGTTCGGAACGATAGCGCTCACACTGGACTTCGGACTGCGGCGGCAATTCACCTGGAGGTTTGTCGTTGCCGCTGTGTCCAAGCCGATCATCGGCGCAGACTTCCTCGTACACTATGGGCTCTTGGTGGACATGAGGAACCAGCGGCTGTTGGACGCGACCACTCAGCTCACCTCTCATGGAAGGGTGATTGAGTGTGACATTCCGAGCGTTAAGACTGTTTCAGGCTCATCGCAGTATCATGAACTCCTCCACCAATTTCCGGAGGTGTCACGACCGGACGGAGCCCCCAAGGCCGTAAGTCACTCGACGAGGCATTATATCACTACCACACCAGGGCCACCCGTCGCACAGAGACCACGTCGCCTTTCAACGGAGAAGTTGAAGGCGGCGAAGAAGGAATTCGAGGCCATGCTACGCCTGGGAATCGCTCGCCCGTCACAAAGCTCCTGGGCATCGCCCTTGCACATGGTATCGAAAAAGAGCGACGACTGGCGGCCTTGCGGAGATTATCGCGCCCTGGACGCGAGAACTTATCCAGATCGATATCCAGTGAGGCACATCCAGGATTTCTCCCAGTCACTTCGTGGGAAAAACATTTTTTCCACCATCGATCTGGTACGAGCCTTCAATTAGATTCCGGTCGCGGAGGAGGACATTCCAAAGACAGCCATTACGACGCCTTTCGGACTCTTCGAGTTCGAATTCATGACCTTCGGTTTGCGTAATGCAGCGCAGACTTTCCAGCGCTTTATTGACCAGGTGCTGCAAGGGCTGGAGTTCTGCTACGCGTACATCGACGATATCCTCATCGCATCAACGTCAGAGGTAGAACATCTGAAACACCTGAGAGTTCTGTTTGAGCGGCTGAAGAAGTATGGTGTCGTCATCAACCCAGCAAAATGCGTATTTGGACAGCCCGAAGTTAAATTTCTCGGCTACCTCGTTTCTGGCGCAGGGACTCGCCCGCTACCAGAAAAGGTCGACGCCATACGAGCCTATCCACGACCCGATACCGTGAAAAAATTACGACAATTCTTGGGCATGTTGAATTTTTATAGAAGATTCTTACCCAAGGCTGCAGAGATTCAAGCACCGCTTAACAACCTGCTGCTAGGCAATGTTAAAGGGAAGTCGCCAGTCAACTGGACATCAACGTCTATAGAAGCATTTGAATCAAGCAAGGAATGCTTAGCCCAAGCAACCTTGCTGGCTCATCCCGAGCCCGATGCACCGCTCGCAACTTTCAGCGACGCGTCAGACTACGCAGTCGGAGCAGCCCTCCAACAACGGATCGGAGATGCCTGGCAACCCCTTGAATTCTTTTCCAAAAAGCTAAGTCCTGCGGAAGCAAAATACGGAGCCTACGATCGGGAGTTACTTGCTATTTACCTAGCAATCAAGCACTTCAGGCACACCGTGGAGGGACGGTTGTTCACAGTCTACACGGACCACAAACCTCTCGTCTATGCGTTCCACAAGAAGACGGCCCAATGTTCACCTCGGCAGTTCAGACACCTGGATTTCATCGGACAGTTCACCACCGATATCCGCCACGTTTCCGGGGAGGACAACGTGGTAGCAGACGCTCTGTCGCGCGTAGAGGAAGTTCAGCGTACCCTCGATTTCGAAGCCTTGGCAGCAGCCCAATAAGAAGATGAAGAGCTCCGGCGATACCTGGAGGAAGACTCCACCCTCGTACTGAAAAAGGTGTGCATCCCTGGCACCAACGTGGCAGTATTTTGCGACATCTCATCACAAACAGTGCGGCCCTTTGTTACCCAAGAGTTTAGGAGAGTCGCATTCGACTCACTGCACCAGCTGTCTCACCCGGGAATCAACGCGATGGTCAAGCTCGTAACTCAGCGTTACGTATGGCCGTCGGTCAAATCTGATTGCAGACAATGGGCCCGCAGCTGCATCCAATGCCAACGCGCCAAGATCTCTCGCCATGTCTCCTCACCTGTCGGCACATTCGCACCACCTTCTGCCAGGTTCGAACATATACATATAGACATCATAATCATGCCACTGTCAGAGGGATGCCGATACTGCCTGACTACTGCCTGGTAGACCGATACTCTCGCTGGCCAGAAGCTGTTCCCCTGCACGACCAAGAAGCTTCAACTGTCGCACGTGCTCTCTACGATGGATGGATATCTCGGTTTGGCACGCCATTGAGAATAACCACGGATCAAGGTAGGCAGTTTGAGTCATATCTTTTCAAGCAATTGAATTACTTGTTAGGTACGACTCACCTGAGAACAACCGCATACCACCCTTCAGCCAACGGCATGGTTGAACGGTTACACCGTCAACTAAAAGCAGCAATCATGTGCCAACAGCAACATCGATGGACACAGAGCCTTTCTACCGTCTTGCTGGGCATCCGCTCAGCCTGGAAAGAAGACCTGCAAGCCACGGCAGCCGACATAGTCTACGGGCAGTCGCTACGTCTTCCGGGCGAGTTCTTAGGATCTCTACACCGCGACAACGCAACAGACAACGTAACAGATTTCGTCAAGGAGCTACGCCAACACCTGAGGGAATTGAGACCGACGAAGGTATCTCGTCATGGTACGGGTAAGACGTTCGTGTTCAAGGACCTTGCTACCTCGGAGGAAGTCTTTGTACGCCACGATAGTCTCAAACAGCCTCTGCAACAACCGTATGACGGTCCATACAAAGTAATTAAACGAGCAGAGAAGACGTTCGTGGTTTGCATGAACGGCCGTGACGTTACGGTTTCCATCGATCGCCTTAAACCAGCGTACATCATGGCCGATGATCCACTCGTCTCTCAGGAAAGCAACAACGATCAGAACCTTTCAGGCCCCTCCGAAAAGGACGCAGTAATCACAGACCTACCAGATACACACAAACACACACAGCAGAAAACAACACTAGAAAACTCGACCAAGCACATAACCAAATCAGGCAGACGTGTCCGCTTCCCGGACCGGCTACAGGGAGGATTTTCATAAATTCTCATATATCGTTAAACACTAGCAGGGGGGTACTGTAGGGACAATTGTCTCCTACTCCGCCCGCGTTATACACACACGCACACATGTCCACACATGTTCGGAAATCCTACCAGCTTTCTAATTCCCGCATGCATACATCCGCTTTCACCTCTACAGATTTACAACCCTTGCATGTTCCGCAGCCGTATAGATTGCCATGTAACATTTGGCAAACACACGGCTTTTCCTTACGCAATCCGTCCCTTGTAAAATTTCTCCTTCCATAAGTAAAAAACTCCTCTCGGTTCATGCATGCCGAACCCGGATTTTTCCAGAGACCAGTAACTTTTCCGCCTCGAGACACATCACGGACAGTACATATCGCTCGCATACAGTACACATCCACACCTATGCATAGTATACAGGCCTTCGTAATTGTAATTAGAAGAAAATACAGAATTATTGTTTAACATAACGTTCGGTCTTAATTGTGTCTTACCCACATAACTATCCTGTTTACACACTTGGAGAAATTATGTTAACACTTTTTGGAAAATCTGTATCTTTTCACATTGTATCCGACGACTTTCCGATTCCGCAATCCGGAATACTTGGAAATGATTTTTTCAAGCAAACTTCTTCAAAAATAGATTACGCGGAGGGACATCTAGACATTTCTGGAATTAATGTGCCTTTCTTTTCCCCCGAAACTATTACAGTGCAACCGAGATCCGAGTCATTATTTTACGTAAGAATAGTCAATCCTGAAATAAAAATAGGATACATACCGAAGTTAAAAGTAGAGCACGGAATTTATCTAGGGGATACAATAGTGGGAAACGTTTCTGGAAAGGCTTATTTGAATATCATAAGCACTTTAGACGAAGAGGTGGAAGTTCGTGTGCCAACATTATATTTAAAACCATTAGACAAATTATTCAATGATCATAATTCGAACATTGAAATATTCGACAAGGAGAAATCAACAAGATCATTGGAGGATTCCAGAAAAATCGATGAAACTCAAATTAATTTCATAAATGAAGATGGTTTCACAATCAATGATAACATTATTCTTAATGAAGATGCTGAAAGCGGCAATAAAATCCAAAAAGGAAACAAAGACGAAACACTTGAAAATATAAAACAAAAAGGGATAAATGAAAATAAAGAAATCAAAATTAAAACTTATCCAAATAAAAATTCTAGTTTAACAATCCCTGAAAAGAGAAGTTACCAAATCTCTTATGAAAATTTTAATAATTTAACCATCCTTGGAGGGGGAAATTACCAAATCTCTTTAGAAAAAAATAATTCTGGAATTTCGGAGGAAAGTTTCCAAACCTCGTCAGAAAATTCCAGCTCCGTCAATTGCAAGGAGGGAAATTACCAAACCTCTTTAGAAAAAAGTAATTCTGGAATTTCGGAGGGAAGTTTTCAAACCTCGTCAGAAAATTCCAGCTCCGTCAATTGCAAGAGGGAAATTACCAAACCTCTTTAGGAAAAATTAATTCTTGAATTTCGGAGAGAAGTTTCCAAACCTCGTCAGAAAATTCCAGCTCCGTCGATTGCAAGGAGGGAGGTTACCAAATCTCACTACGAAAATCGACACCTTATCCTAAAAAGAAAAGAAGTTCTTTATCCTCTCTAGACTTTACATCTCCAAAGGATGGATTATTTACAAGAAAAAACGATAATAATAAATTAGAAACCTCCTATGTTATAATAAAAGACCTCGTTCAAGAGGCTCAAGAACATAATTCAAACATTAGAAAAATCGAAAATTCTCGAAAAATTAATCACAAGAATAAGCCGTCTTCGAAACTTTTTACGTCCTTATGTAATAAATCTCAAGAAATAATAGATAAATTTACGAGAAAACATAAATCTAAACACGAGATTGACATTACAACTTCTGAGTCGCATCATTGCTTGGTACTTTCCGGGGAAACTAAGGAAGATCGACTTTCTAAAATTATTGACTCATTGCGATTAGAGCATTTAAATGGAAAAGAACAGGAAAACATAATAAAATTAATAACGAATAGTCAAGATTGTTTCCACATTCCTGGAGAAAATTTAACCGCAACTCACGTTTTGCAACATCGAATAACGACCACCGATGATCACTCGATAAATACTCGGCAATATAGATTTCCTCAAATACATAAAGAAGAAATAAACAAGCAGATAGAGGACCTCCTACAGGGAGGCATAGTGAAACATTCGCAGTCGCCTTACAATACGCCCATATGGATCGTGCCTAAGAAAGACGATTCTAAAGGAAATAAACGCTGGAGAATGGTTCTCGATTTTCGAATCTTAAATGAAAAAACTATTGGAGACGCTTACCCACTACCTAATATTGTTGATAAACTAGATCAACTAGGGGGAGCGCAATATTTTTCCATATGCGATCTCGCATCTGGATTTTATCAAATAAAAATGGATTCTGCCGACAGTCACAAAACCGCTTTTACAACTCCTTTCGGACCAAAAATAGAGTAAAATCGACCCTTATGATCGTTGACCTATCTTTGGCTCACCCGCAGCCTCGCTCGACCCGAAACACTTGCCCTTAAGGCACCTGTTCTCGGGATACAAGTGTTACGCCCTTCCTTCGGCCCATCCTTCCTCGGGCCTGGACGTAACAGTATAATTCTCTAAAAAATTTCTCTTTAAAATTATTTTAATTGATATTAATACTTTGTAATATAAAAAGATTTGTTCTACAATTTCTGATAATCAATGTCTATTCGATTTTGTTTTAGATTTTGTTTTATAATTATTTATTATTTTATATAATTTATTTTCATAAAATTATAGATATTGGCACTTCAACAAAAATTCCGCATTATTTAGAAAATAAATATGCGTATGTATCTTTTTGTAAAAATTTATTTTAATCAATTTTAAATCAGTTTTTAAAGTATTTACATTCTATCTTACTGAGTTTTCTTTCAGCCGCAAATGATAAGGAGAGCGGGTTATCGCGCAGAGGCTCATGTTATAATGACAGAGGATGGCTATTTACTGATATTACACCGTATTCCAGGTGGTAACAATTCTCTACTTGTGCTGATAATGCACGGTATTTTTAGCAGTTCCGTTGATTGGATTGTTTCTGGCAAAGACAAAGCACTCCGTACGATCTTTTAATCAATCTTTAAGAAATATTTCGAGGCTACATCTGGATATATATGTATCTGAATTGATATGACTTTATCGGAAAAATATCTAAAAGAAACTCTCGAATTGAAATGTCAAAAAAAATTTATAATATATTTTTAATTGTAATTGTTCGCGAGTGAGCGCGGATTGCTGCGACAGCGCAAAGTTTTGAAAACGCGGCAGACGGATGGCCGCGAGCAGATTATTTAACGCAAAAAACTTTACACGACACGTAATTCTTTTTTTGTTTTTTTTTTGAGTTTTATTTTCACCACACAATTAATAACAGTTTACACAAAAAAATGAACATATATTTCAGGTGCCAAAATAATAAAGAGAAGTCCGAGTGAGAAGCGATCGTTATATTTGCGGTTAGACAAAGCGGTTTTGCAAAGCGAAGCGGTTTTCAGAATACTGCGAGCAGCGATAAGTGCGAGACTTGGCGGGTCCACGCGCGGTGGCCATTATAAAGCGAGCGGATTTTTGGGCCCGCTTCGACGTGGACCAATTAATTTAATATTTTAGCGGTGACATTATCGCGGCGTGTGTCATTGGTTGTTGATGACGTCTCCCGTTGGATGTCGTTTATTTTCCATGCGCGCAATCTTTTAAGATCAGCTGATTGGCGATCAGCTGATCGTGACGGATGGGCGCGCATGCCCATGAGCGGCGCAAATTTCAACGGCGGTTGACAATAATATTGTCTGCGGTGATGATTAGCGTTTTTCTGGTGGCAAAAAAGGCGAGATAACTCGAGCGTTCGAGTTTTTTTTAACAAATAGTCCTTTCGAGAAGATTCTCGACGCCCGTTAATTTTTAAATTCTCGCTTATTTATTAGCGAAAACATGCGAATTTCGCTATGCGATTTTTTGACTAGAATGATTATTTTAATTTTGAACAGTAATACAACTTCCAACACATTTTACTTTTCGAAAATTTTTAAAATTCATCAGATAACACATATACTTATATATATATTATAATTTACATATTTGTGATATATTTAGAATTGCTTATTTAACGTATTACATAATGATTGAATTATACATGAATTCGCGATCTTAATTTATTTTTAAAAATACTAGCATATAAAGATATTGTAAAATAAGGGTAATATATTGTACGAGGATATTATATGAGAAGATTATAGAATAAATCGTATAATAAATGTAGCAAATAAACCTTTTTTTTACATTTTAGCTTACTTATTAGCGGATCGAAGATATGATGTTTGGTTGAGAAATTTTCGTGGTAATACCTACTCTAGAGCGCATATTTCCTTATCGCCGTCAGACCCAAAATTTTAGGATTTCAGATAAAATGATGCTTGAGAAATGACATAATAATGTAACAATATTTGATTTAATTTGATATCAGAGACTTGATCTATATATTTAATCATATCTACTTATTTAATCATATGCAACAGTCATTTTAAAATATCATTTATCTCGAGATATCCTCTATATAAGTATATAAGTGTTTCTATACAGGGTGTCCTATTTTAATGTCCCACCCCAAAAAATTTTCTTATTTTTAATTTTAGAAAAAGATGTTTCAGACAAAAGTTGTATGGTTTCAAGGAGGACATAAGATGGTGTCATTAGTTTTACCTTGAAGAGTCACATGAAGTTTACGTGAAGGTCATTTTGAATTTCTTAAATGTAACATCCTATATATTTTTGCATATTCTTGTAGCTTATCTCGAAAACTTTCCAAAACAGTATAAATACACATTTTTTCATCAAGTACTTTTCAAGTTATGAGGCTTGAAATCATTTCTTAATTTTACATAAACCATAAAATATCTTGTAAAATTTTTCGATTATCTTACCTTAATACTTTT